CTACCCTCCAGCAGATCAACACTTCCCCCCATCTTGGTGTTGTCTGCGAATTTACTATTTTCAGACGCATATTCATCTCCAAGTGGCAACACCACTCCCTCCTTCCTCCTATCCTCTTAAATGAGGGAAACAAATTTCTCATCATCATTGTGTTCATCTGGGGGAGCTGCTAAGTAACAGACGGAGTCGAGCTCACGCTCACCTTGATGCGTAGCCAACGTCTGAGACCCGAAGAGGAAGATGGAGCTATCCCGGCAGCGTATGGCTCTGTGACCTGTGCCTGGCAGGATGAGAGTCCCCTGGAGCAGGAGGGAGACAAGGAGCCTGTCCAGGGAAAAATTTTGCTCAGGTGAAGCCACATGAAGCCCCAGGACAGGCTATCAGCACCCTGGGAATGGCCCTCCAGCGGTGCTGCACAGGGGTCTTCTTGGTCTTCTTGGTGGGGTTTCAGGTGCAGTTCCCCCCTGGGCACTGAGGTGTAATTTGTTACTATCCGCGAGCAGGCTCTCCAAACTCTTTGCGTAAGGCGGGTGTGATCCTGGTGCCCCAAAACCAGCCATGGTGTTCCTGCACAGCCACACCGCAGGGACATTTGCATCCAGCAGTGGCTGAGGAAGCACCGTCAATGTCACACCAAGCAGCAGCGGAAACTCTGTTCAAGACCCACCACCACTCCCTGGGCACCATGAGACTTGCACAAGATGGTGAAATTGCCCCTGTATCACCATAAATCTCTCCCAATTTGCTGTAAACACCCCTGGGCTGTAGAGTCGCACACCCTGGCTCTACTCACACACCTTTGCTAAGGAAAACTGGAGGAGCCCAGCTCCCTCCTGCCACCTGGGCAAACAACATGGCACAATTTCATTGTGCTGGGACGTCATGGGGGCTAAGGGGAAGCATTGCCTGCTTTAAATCCTTCTTCAGTTTCAGTATTGTTATTTTCTTCAGCACATCATGCATTATCTGTCAGGGCTCTCTGTGATGCTCTTGACAGTCTGTAGTGAACGCAAACACCACTGCCAAGGTGATGTGCTGGCTTCAGGGAACTCCTAAACCACCCAGTAAATAACTGCGAAGAATATTGACTGTCCGTTGTGCCTATGCAAGTCTAGGAAGTCCTTCATGTGCAGATTACTGGCATTGTGCACTTTTAATGGATAATTCATAGCTCTTGTAATGTAACCCATCAATATGTTATATCCTGAGGGAGTATTTAATCGTGGATCTGCCCCTGCAGATTAACTCTGTGTGCTGTAGAAATGCTTACAGTATTTGCAATATCAAGCAGATACTTACACCAGACATCAAGATTCATTTCAATTAAAAATCAAGCCCTTGGGCAGATTCACTTTTTTTGTGAAAGAAGTTAAAAATCAATATTTTTAAATTTTCTCCAAGCATGTGCTAAAGCAATCTTTGAATGCTTCCAGCATGTGACTGGAGGGGTAGCTGCTCTGCCATACTGTCCATTTTAGCTGCACAGGTGTTCTCTGTACATTTTTTCACTTCCATACATTGAGAGCAGGTGGCTCAGACACCTTTACAGTATTCATTTTAATAGGTCATATTCTACATAAATTCTGGGGTGTGAGGATCAAATTAGAGTAACAGCAGTATATCCTGTGCCATCATAGCATAGCCATATGGCTCAGAAACAAGCCAGGAAAGAAGCTCCTACTTCTTGCAGAAACTTCATGCTTCTTACCCAGTCAGTCCTTGGCCAGACACAGGCTCTGCCAATTTAAAGTTTGATTTTTGATTCTCCACAGTCAGCCTTGCTTTCCCTGTCGATCCCCTCCTCAGCTCTGCAACCCAGCCTCAATGCCTGCAGTGCCCCCATCGCCCTTTTTTTTCCGAGAGCCATCACACAGCAGGCACAGCCAACTTTATTACTTCACAATGAACTATTTCCTATCTTTGCTTCACATCACATGCAATGTATTTTTCTTAATCTCATTCTGCCATGGTCATGGAGTGGAGGGTTCCTGCACCCACTAGGTGGGAGCTACCACTAGCCAACACCTGTAACCTGTTGGATATGCACAGGTTGGCAGGACAGCTTGGAAAACCTGGATGGTCACCAAAATTACTCTTCTCGTGATTCAGTTTCTTCTACAGGCTTACTGTCTGAAGGTGGTAAAAGTCAGGCTGGATTTGGCTAGCAGGAGTCACTCGGAATGGCAAATGTCAATGTCACAGTGGACAGTCTCCTAGAGGGCCAGCATCAAGGACTTTTGAATAGATAATGTTAACTGACTGGGCTATAATAAAGAAAAATAAAGCTGTTGAAGAGAAACTACTTAACTAGAAAGAAAAAAGTCTATAAAAAAGCTTTCTGCTTGAAGAATATTACAAAAATCCAAACCTTAGTTATATGTAGGTAGGTAATCTAATGCAATGATTCCCTACCACAGACCTTGGGAATTGCAGATTTTTTTTTTGGTAGCTAGCCAAAAGCAAGCTATTTGCAATGTAGAAAGAAATAGGTGCTATGAAATAGGGTCTTTGTGAAAACTTGTGGTCACAACATCCCAGTGTTATGTGAGCAAAATCTAGTTTAGAATCATACTGGCAAAAAAGAAATTTCTATACCTAAAAAACCCAATCGACTGTTGTTGAATGGAAATAGCTAGTGTTCAAAAGGGAGAAACACAATCAAGAACTTTAATTTTTTATAATAAATATTAGAAGAATTTTTTTACACAACTTGTAGCCTGTTGGCTGTGACCAAGACATAAAAATCAGTCAGGCTCTAGATCCTAATTCTAGATTCTAGTTTCACAAGATATGACCATCACAGAATGGCACTCAGTAAAAATCCAATCATATTCATTGACAGGTTTATTTTAAAATAATACACAAAGTCCCTGTAATACCTCTGCAATCTTCCTCAAAAATGTCATTAACAACTGGAAAGTCCCTTATATAGCTCTATTAAACAAGTGGCATCACATAGAAAGTTAATTTACAAAAATCTGTCTTTAGTTGTGCCAGTCTTTCCAGGCTGTACTGTCATAGTCTAATCAACTACTTTATTTTTTATAGCTGCATTTTATCTTTTTTCCTACAGTTCTGTAAACCACAAATTACAGTTCTGTAAACCACAAATTAAAATGTTGTTGTTGGTTTTAAGGTCCAGTGCCACACGTTTCCGCTGGAGTCAGTGCTACTACACAGCCCAAGACGAATGGGCCTTAGACAACATCTACATCGGGCAGCAGTGTCCCAACATGTGCAGTGGGCACGGCTGGTGCGACCATGGAGTTTGCAGGTATGAACGTTTTTCCAATTCCTCTCAACAGTGGTCTCCTGACACTTTAAGTTTCCTATTATTTTGCATCCCTCTTTTTTTTTTATTGTTCTTATTTTTAGATTAAACATCTCAAAATAAAAGTACTGGGGAGTGGTTAGTCATTAAAGGGACATTAACAACAGGCTGCTCCTCAGCTCTCTGTCCAAGAACCCTTACCCTTGGCAGATCCAGGCACTGAAAGATCTTTCAGTGCACAGAGCTGCCCTGCAGCAGGTCTCCTGGTGGCCCCTGCAGCCCTTTGCACAAGGACTCCTGGGACCAGCTTAGTGCCGGAGCTGCTTCACTGGGTCAGAAGGATGCCAGGGACCAGCTCAGCTCTGCTTGTCAGCCACTGTCAGGCCAGGTGCAATATCAAGGGCACAGACTACTGTCCACCAGATTCAAACCTCCCGGACATGACAGGGGTTGGTTTTTTAGGAATAAGACATAGCTTTTTTTTACATTAATTTGTTTCCAAGATCAAAAATTCTAATCCCGGAGTGATTTGTTATTTCACACCGAGTTTCAAAAGGTCATTGCATCACTTTACGTATTGTCAGCGTCAAATAAAGTGTTTAAATGCTTGTTACATTTATGCTTCCTTCCAGGTGTGACTCAGGGTTTCGAGGTACTGAATGTCAGCCTGAAAATGCCCTTCCTTCGACTGTCATGTCTGATTTTGAGAACTCAGACAGCCTAAAGACAGAGTGGCAGGAAATTATTGGGGGAGAGATTGTCAAGCCTGAAGAAGGCTGTGGAGTCATCTCATCTGGCTCCTCGCTCTACTTCAACAAGGTACTAGTGAGAGGTGGGAGGCAGAAAAAGGCACGTACTGTAGGTTCAAATGGAGCATGATACAGTTGTATGGCAAAGAAAGCTGCACGCAGCGTGAGAAGTGCATTAAGCAGCACAGCTGTGCTCTGCAGGTAAAGAACAAAGCAATCACAAAAGATAAGGAAAGACACGTGCATTATGTATTCAAGAAATTCCAGCTATAATGGAAGGAAGCAAATCGCCAGTGTGCTGGGAAGTGTGTGCAGTCATACTCCCTTGATTATGCATTTTCTGTTTTAAGACTCGGCTCTTTCTCAGCATCCAGCAGCTCACATTGGTTCATTCTGTATTGCTCTGGGCGAGGGCTGGAGAAAGGTTGGCTTTCCAGGGGACAAGCAGATTAATTCGCAGTCACAAGACCAAAACTGGTGAAGAAACAACCCCTTCAGAATTTTATTAAGTGGTTAGCCTGTAGGAGGACACTCTTTTGTGTAATTTGGATGCTTTGCAGACAAAAATAGTAGAGCAGGAAAGAGATACAAGGAATTCTGCTAATTAATAGCAATTATAACTAAAATAAAAAGATATTTTTATGACCAGATGTAAGATTGTGGGGTTGTAGTCACAGATTTATTTTTTATTGTTGATTCTCAGGTCTAGTACTGGATTTTGTTTTGTTCTTAATTGAAAGGAAGAGTATAAATGCAGCTATGTGCTTCTCTTTTAAAGGTTTGATCAAACTGTCACTGCTGTCATGAGAGCCAGATTAGTCCCAGAAGAATAACCTAATATGCAACGCTGTGTAATTGTGTGTTGTTTACCTCATTACAAAAATCTAACCCATCAAATAATTTTCAGCACTCCTACATAGTCTCACATCCAGCTCCCCTGGAAATGCAGCTCTACGCTGAAAATTTCATAATAGACTAATCAGTAGAACCAGCTAATTGTGATAATTGGATTTTTTTATATATAATTGTCTTCTCTGTTAGATGTTTTTCCTTCTGGCTCAGTTCCTTATGCCAAGTTTCTCAAAAGCAGTTTGCTAAATTAGAATTAACCTGCTATGATCTTTCTGCTGATTTCTGCTAAGGAGTGAAAAACTCATTTAGAAATTCTTGGCTTCTCTCTATTGATCTCTAAGGGTTAGGTTATCATTCATTTCTTGAGTAGTAGCAGTCTGTATGCCATCAACAGAAGGTATTTTATTTAATTACTGTGTAGATCTTTTTCAAGGCATCTAGTGGCCATGCTGGTAGATAATAAAAAAATATTTTTTTTGCTACCCAATGGTTCTGCTTTGTTTTGGGAGCTCATATTCACAGGCTTCGTTTCTTTTCATTTGCTCAAATAGCCACTTTTTATTTGAATGTCTAATTTTTACTGCCATAATCAATTATTTCCACTAGAATTAATGTTGGCTTTGTTCTACTGACCCTCTCCCTTTTGTTTTACAACTCATTTTAATCAATTGTAGGTGTGTTCAGAATACAGAGCCCTTTCAGTTACCTCTTGCAATTCCTCTGAGGTTTGATGACACTCTGGTCCTTTCTCAGCTAATGTGCTTCTGTGGTTAACTCTTTGGCAGGCAGAGCTGCTGTGGGGTGTAGGTATGGAAAAACCCACCTGGAGTAGTTTTGCAACCAGAGCTTGACCCACTGCAGGTCAGTGCGTTGAGAACCCTCAACCAGCTAGGGCACACCTGCCCATGGGGCATCTTTATTATCTATTACTAGTTTGATTTGATTATGATAATTTCAAATTCCTGCGGGTTTCCAAATGAAGCTGTGAAACCAAACTACTGAGAGATTATCAGCGTCACCTTGGCCAGTGTTAGACACATGCGGCTGCACTGGGAAGCTCCCAAGTCTGAGCCCATCTCACTCTCATTGCACCATCCAGGAGGGCTTTGCTCAGCTTCGCATAAACCACCAAGTAAACCAAAACAGCAGGCATCATTCAAGACCAAATCAATATGAATCTATCCTAAATGAGCTTTTTGAGGGTCAAAGGATTCTTCAAAGGTTTCAGCTGTCAGTCACTAGTGCAAGTCAACCAAGTTTCAATAACAAAACCATTCATCTTCCAGAAATTAGTGTAGCAACATGATGTGTCCTACTTGGTAGAGTCTACAAATGAGCTATGGACCCAGGCTGCAACACTAGCAAGGAGAAATGTTCTGCAAAAGAAAGAAATAGACATTTATTTGTGCTAAGTTTACTTTGTACTGGGGAAAAAAAGGAAAGAGGTGAGGACTGGAAGAGTATTTAAATCTTGTTACTTAATGCTCAGCTAGATCACGTAACTTGCTTATCTCAAATCTGTCTGGGTATTTGTCAGGAGGATCATGTATGCGCAAGTGGGACGGAGAAAAATATAAATATTACATAAAACACAGACATCATTTTATAACTTAGGCCAGATTTTCCTTTGTGATACCTTTTTATGCTTGGAAATTGACACGAACCTGTGATTTATTAGGGAATTAGAAACAGTAGACCTGTTGCCAGTTCTGGTCCATTTTAGAGGGTCGTGCTGGGTTGCAAGCTACTTTTAATGAATGCAGACACATGATCCCTGCATCCTCCCTCCAGCTGCATGTGTTTGTCTTTTTCTTACCTATAAAACCTTGGGGAGGCATGACATTGTGCCAAGGCAGGGCTGTGCCAGGTGTGGGGCACGTGGGTCACCTCTGTGGGGACACCACTTTCAGCCCATGTCCTGCCTTGCCATGGCCAGCTTCATATCACATATCAGCATCTTATTGATGTGCAACCCCACAAGCTCAGCCTCAAGTACCAAGACATGAAGGGAAGAAGGAAATGGGATAATTTCAGTTATAATAAAAAGCTCTTACAAATCTTAAAGCCTTTTTTTTAGCTGAATAGGCTCTGTCTTCCTTTGTCAACATGCACAAAGTGACTGTGTTGACCACAATGTAGACGTCCAAGAGCTATTTCCTGCTAGATCTGAAAAACATCCTTGGAAAAGCTGTTCACTAAATTTTATGAGGCTGTTTTCTTCTCTCAGCCATGCTTAGGTATACTCAAATCCACAGGGTTTAGTTGAGACAGTCTTGATTTACAACACTTATTAGGAAAAGAGCATAGTCTTGTGTGGGAACAAATGCCACTCCCTTGTTACTGTGTAGGAGATGGGCTGCAAGCAGTGGGTATTGTAGGGGCTACAATTTCAGATGATCAGGTAATCCTATACAGTGCAAGATTTGACTGGGGAGACGAGACTTCAGAAATTACCTTTTAGTGCTTTATGCTTTATCATTAAAAAACTGAATACTTAAAAATTTAGCTCTGATTTTCAGGATATCCAGCATCTGCTCTTTGTCTTCTGAAGATATTGGGACATTGAAGGAATTTCATAAAATAGTTGTGTAGGACTTGTGTTGTGAAGTTGCATTGTGCGTTGAAATCTAAAAATAAAAATTCCTGTGGGATCTCATCAGGGTGATTAAGACATAAAGGATGGCCAAGCAGAATCATTGTCTGAAACGTTGAAAAAAAGTCATGTAAACACAAAATTCAGTGCCCTATATTTTGTGCAATATTCATCTGTGTTGGACTTTCAGTGTGTCTATTCATACCAAATGGGTCAGGTTTAGTATTATTATTGTCCCTCTGTTCTTTGTGTTATAGGCTGGAAAAAGACAGTTGGTAAGCTGGGATTTGGACACAACCTGGGTGGATTTTGTCCAGTTTTACATCCAGATAGGAGGAGACAGTTCTTCATGCAATAAACCAGACAGCAGAGAAGAAGGTGTGCTGCTGCAGTACAGCAATAACGGTGGTATCAACTGGCAGCTACTAGCAGAAATGTATTTTTCTGACTTCAGCAAACCAAGGTATAATGTTGATCTAAACTAAATCCATACTGCATCAGTTTGTTACACTACTTCTCAATTTATGAAAACATGAATAACAATTTCAAGATATAATGTTTAAAAGAGATCATTATATGGAAACTTTTCCAGGCTGCCACAGCAAACTCTTGTCACTAGGAAGGAAAAAAACTAAGGATACTGGACCTCAAAAAGACTAAAGAAAAACATAAAGTTTCCATTCACTCGTCTCCCATATAAAACATGACAAAAATTCTAATATCTGCAAAATATCGACAAGCAAATACGGAAGTTTCCCAAAAGAGATGTAGAAATCTGCCATTTCCTCCAACTCTGGTTTTAGATATAATGAACATGTATTAGCATCACATGCAACAAAAACTCCTTCAAAGAAATATTTGTGGAGACAAAATCATGTTCAGCATTTCAAATTTTCTGTAAGATAACTTGGCAGTGAAAATTTAAATTGCATTTGTCTGCATAGGTATTAACATTATTTCTATTACCTGTAGTTCATGTCTTTAAATATGTAAACAATTTTATCTTTCTATCGTGTTGTTTTGCATTGCAATGAACGTTTTCAGAAGGATTCTGGTAACTCAGCAAACTGTCATATTCTAAGGGTGATCTAGAGATTTGGGAGTATAAAAACATTAGTGAGAACAAGACTAGACTAGACTAGACTAGAATAGAATAGAATAGAATAGCATTTAATTGAATTTCAGTTGGAAGGGACCTACAGTTATCACCTAGTCCAATTCTCTGACCAATGCAGGGCTGACCAAAAGCATGTTATTAAGACATTGCCCAAATGCCTCTTAAAACACTGACAGACCTCGGACATTGACCACATCTCTAGGAAGTATGTTCTGGTATTTGTTCACCCTTGTGGTATAGAAATGCTTCCTAATGTCCAGTCTAAACCTCCCCTGGCACAGCTTTGAACCATTCCCAGATGCCCCGTCACCAGATACCAGGGAGAAGATCACAGCACCTCCCTTTCCACTTCCCCTCCTCAGGAAGCTGTAGAGAGCCATGAAGTCACCTCTCAACCTCCTTTTCTTCAAACCAGACAAGCTCAGGGTCCTTAGCTACTGTTCATAGGTTATTCCTTGCAGCCCTTTTGCCAGATTTGTTACCCTTCTCTGGGTGCATTCAAGGACCTTCACATCCTTAAATCATGGGGCCCAGAACTGCACACAGTACTCAAGGTGAGGCTGCACCAGCACTGAATAGAGCAGGACAATCTCTTCTTTGGACCAGCTGGTCCATACCATGTTTGATGCAGCCCTGGATGGGGTTTGCCCTCTTGGCTGCCAGGGCACACAGCTGACATGTATTGAGCCTGCTGCCAACCAGCACCCCCAGATCCCTTCTGCATGGCTCCCTCCAGCCACTCACCTCCCAATTCATAGTTATGCCTGGTGTTACTCCATCCGAGGTGCAGAATCTGGCATTCGGTCTTGTTAAATTTCATCCCTCTAATGATTGTCCACTGCTCTGATCTATCTAGATGCCTCTGCAAGGTCTCTTGTCACTCAAGAGAATCAGTAGCACCTCCCAGTTTGGAATCATCAGCAAACGTGCCAATAGTGCATTCAACTCCTGCATCCCAATAATCAAATTGAACAGAACTGGCCCTAGATTTGAACCCTGAGAACCCGTTGCCAGCCAGCTGTAGCCCCGTTCACTACAACTCTTCGAGCTCTGCCCTTCAGCCAGTTCTTCACTCAGCGCGCTGTGAGCCTGCTCATGCCACAGTTGGACAACTTGTCCATAAGGTTGCTGTGAGGAACAGTGCCAAAAGCCTTACTAAAATCCAGAAAAGCTGCATCCACCGCCTTCCCTTCAACTACTAGGCAGGTGGTTTAGCTTTACTTTGTCAAAATTATAGCACACATCCAACAAAGAAGCTACATACTGAAACCTTAATCGCTGGACTATCTAATACAGTATTTTTAGACAAAACATTTGCCCCTCTGAGTAACCAAGAGTGATGGTTCTTACTAGATATAGCCTTGCGTATTTATTGTTCTGCTGCTTCAAATATGGTCCAGACCTTACTTTCCAAGTCGTTATTTTCTAACACATAAGTCCAGGAATTCTCTGGAAAAGAAGGTTCCCTGTAGCCTTGAACAATTGTTCCACCTCACCCTGTCTAACCAGCAAGTGAAGCAGAATCCATGGGGAAAAATAACATGTAGTGTAAAGAAAGAGTGCCAAGAGGAATATAGGTATAAATGCATAAATGTAAGGTGTCTGAAATAGGACTGAACAAGTAACTGATTATTGTATTTTTTAGCATAAATGTGTTTAGGTTTGAAACTTTTATTTAACATCTTTTTGTAAGGTGTTTCCTGAGTTGAACATAAAGCAAACTATCTGAAAAGATCTAAAGTTCTTTTATGAAGATCCATTCTGAAATATTTTTATCCACAGCAGAAAACTCTGCTGCGTAATCTATTGCATTGTAATAGAAGGATGCTTTTGTCTACAAATAGGACCAACCAGTAGAGGAGAATGAAAAATTAATTTTGCCAGCATATTTCTCTATTACTTGCTGGCAACAGAAGGATGTTAAGACTTGCTGAATATGGATCAGCTGAACAATTTAATTCAAAGCTGAAGAGTTCAAATCAGTTCATTATTGTGCTAGGCAATATAGTAAAAGTGGAAAAAATAGTCATTGTCTTAAAAGAGTTTACATTCTTCGCAAACATGAAGGACAAAGAAACCTTCTTGACATGCAGCATATAAATAGATATCCAGATATGCAGAAGGTTTCTGAGGACTTCTACACGTAAGATAGATACTGGCTTTCCTGCCTCTTTTCTGGGTTCAGTGGTATTTCACTCATTTCTCTGCGAACTGTGTTCCCTTAAAGTTCTGTGCATTTCTGTTCTTCAGGTTTGTCTATCTGGAGCTGCCCGCTGCAGCCAAGACACCTTGCACCAGGTTTCGCTGGTGGCAGCCCGTGTTTTCTGGGGAAGGGTATGACCAGTGGGCCATTGATGACATCATCATTTTGTCAGAGAAGCAGAAGCACATCATTCCTGTTGTTAATCCCACTTTACCACAGGTAATGATCAAGAACAGGCTGTGGGCATCCCTGTGAAATAGGAATCGCCCTCTCTGTTGATAGATTTTTCTTTGACAATATTAGGTGTATTTAAAGTTGTAGTGTTTGCATCTGTGTCTGTCTCTGTGTGGCAATAACATGGATCTTATTACAAAGCCATTAGTCTACTAATATTTATGACAGAGGATGTTATTATGTATGTCCTCAAAAAGTCAAACACGGAATTTTGGAAATCAAATTTTTTGAAGATTATGGAAAATGAAAATTGCAAAATTTGGAAGTTGATAGTTTGGAGAATTATTCTGAAATCATACTGCAAGATGGTAGTACTTGTTGTTGCTTTACTTTTGATTTCTAACAGAACTTTTATGAGAAACCAGCATTTGACTACCCTATGAACCAGTTGAGTGTATGGTTAATGTTGGCCAATGAAGGGATGACGAAAAATGAAAGTTTCTGCTCTGCCACCCCCTCCGCCATGCTCTTTGGTAAATCAGATGGAGATCGGTTTGCAGTGACTCGTGATTTAACTCTGAAGCCTGGATACGTCCTGCAGTTCAAGGTATTCCTTAAACATAATTCCCTGCAGAATGTCAGTAAAACTGCTCTTGGTCAATACTTGCAAGATGTCACTGAGGCCACAGTTCAAAACAAAGTTATAAATTATACCTCTACTTAAAAAGATGTGAAAAGCACAAGTATGAATTCATATAGCATAAAATATCAAGCTGCTTTCTAACAGGATAGTCAAAACCTTGGTGTCGGAGAGCTTTTTAACTCCCCTGAAGAAGTTTTAAAGCTTGTTGTTCTTCAGCCCATTTCAGAAATGACAATAGATTGTCATTATATTCAAGTCAGTACTAGGAAATGCCACTGCACTGTCAAGGGAAAAAAGGATTTACCCCATCTGGGGCTCCATGACTACAAAAGCTCCAATGTGGTTTGCGTACATTTTTTGTATTTTAAACTATTTAAGGACTTACAAGCTGCTCCGTACTCCAGCATGGATTTTTCATACAATTTACTTTTATTGTGTCAATGAATATAGGCTCTAATTAGCCTTCTCTTCTTTAAAGGGCTTACGGAAATTTCAGTGGTCTGACAATACATTAGAATATAGGCTCCAAAGAAAGTGTATTTACTCTGACAAGCTCTTGTTTCTGAACCCTAATCAAAATTTTATTGAGTTTATAATGAAATCCCATTGGTGAATTCTGGAGGTTGGTTGCAATGCAATTTTAATGAGCTCACTACAAATACATGGTCCTTACATAATTGGTGGATACAGATATTGAATAATTTACAAGTGGAATTATTAAAGAGATCAGATGTTTACAGACAGCTTTTCAAATATAATTCTCACAAATCTATAAACAGGAAAGTTAGTTAGAAATAATGGCATTTGTAAAATAATCATATTTCATCTAAAAGTTCTGTTAATTAAATTCTGTACAAACTGAGGGGTTGCAGTACAATTTCTGAGTGAGTATTGCTTGTAGTTTTATACTTTGAACCATCTAAACCCCAAAATTATTTCAATACATAGATACCATTTAGCCTGTAAAAGATGCTATTTGCCTCTCGACCCCTTTCCTCTACTTCATTGACTAAGTCTCCGTTCTGCAGATTTGAAGATCAACAACATCTCAAAAAATGTTTAGTATAAAAAAGCAATACTAAAAAATGTTTCATACACCTTCCATCACTGAAACACTTGGCAATGTAACATAAACAAACAAAACATAAACAAAGTGTATCAGAGAACGTGACTTCTTCCTTATTAAGTCTATTATTTAAGGCCTGAATTTATACCCTCTCTTTTTTGGAAAGCTTTTAAACTGGCCTGCACATAAATGTGTTAGCCCTATCTGCATGTTTTATATTTAAACACCTGGTTAAAAGCTTTCCTGAGTTTGTAGTATTTCCATTTTAAATAGCTGCCTGGAATAATTTTGCATTGATAAGATCAAAGACAATAATTCGTAAAAATTATTTCATTTTGCATGAATGATTTTGGTTTACATTCTACAGCTTGAGTAGAATTTCTGCAACAAAATAATGAAAATAATATTTTTCTGATAGTTTGACAAATGAAAACTTCAAATCAGCAGTTGTTTTTTGCCTTGGTTATGTTCTCATTTCAATATGCATTTTACTACTTCATGCAATTTTGTTGTATTCTGGGGGCCCAAACCACAGCAACAACCTCAGACATCACTCCTGTGAGACCAATGACTATGTTGTGGTCAGGGCTCACAGCCAAGGGCAGGGAGGACCTGGAAGTCAGGTTGGTCATCTGGGTACATTGAGTGGACAGAAGACGGGATAGGTCTCAAAGGTTACAGCTCCTCCCACTCCTCCTGGGCATGCAGGTGCTTGCATAGACTTTGCTCTTTGTGACCTGCTATGCACCAAGAACTTTGAAAAGTTCTTTGCGGTGTAAACTCAGCAACCTCAACTGATGGATAGTGGGAATTTTTCCTGAGAAATGTGATATTCATGTAGGAAACACTCTCCAAGCATCAGTCATTATTGCCAGTAGGACTCCAAGTGGTAAGTGTCCAGAGTGCTAAACTTCCCAGCCCCAAAAAGTCAAAGGTGGTTTGCTGCCAATAAATCGCAGACTCATAAAATGGTTTAGGTTGGAAGGGACCTTAAAGATCATCTAGTTCCAACCCCCTGCCATGGGCGGGGACATCTCCCACTAGATGAAGAATACCAATAACAGCATAGGTTTCTTTAACTTATGTCTGATGCTCTGCTTTTTTGCAGCTGAACATTGGTTGCACCAACCAGTACAGCAGCTCTGCTCCCATTCTGCTCCAGTACTCACATGACGCTGGGCTGTTCTGGTCACTCGTGAAGGAGGGCTGCTACCCAGCATCTCCAGGCATGAAAGGGTGCGAGGGAAGCTCCCGGGAGCTCAGCGAGCCAACTGTGTACCACACGGGTGACTTTGAGGACTGGACAAGAATTACTATTGTTATCCCCAGGTCGCTTGCAGCCAGGTACTGTATATTGTAAACCAGTGATGGCAGTGGTACTTATGAATTAGCTGCCTCTTCTTTGATGGTACATTAGGAAAAAGTTGAAAGCTGTGAATAAAAGTGGTGTTTAAAATCCTCAGATCTGGGAAAAATACACTGTGCGCTCCAGGGAGAAGCTTTCCATTTTAAAGGTGTCAGAAAGGTCTATAAAATTACTACAGAGCGACAAGGAACCCCAAACATTTTAATATGACATCAATCTCTTCATCATGGTGCTGTCTGTCTCTATGCATATCAGTTAGGTCAGAGGCAACGGCAAGAAAGTGATGTTGCTTGAATCAAATAAGCCATCTGAACAGGATTAGTTTTATAGTTACCACTGGGCAAAGAAACCCTAAAAGGATACTTGAACTGCTGCATTACGTGCTGTGTCACTGAATGTGGCCAGGACAGCTGAAGCCAAGGGAGGGAGGTTTCGTAGTTGTGCTCACCTGCAAGTGTGACCTCAGCAGCACTTTAATACACATGAAAAAACATCAGATGGTGGAAGGTGCAAACAAGCCTTGAAATCAGGAGGCTTTTCTCATTCTTACCTGGATTTCGTTGAAGCTTCTCAGCCTCATCCTCCTACCAGAGGCTCCCCATCCTCAAGCCCAGGCACAGATTTTGAGTCTGTAGTGTATTGTGTAGCAGGGGAGCTGGTGCCTTTGTCACAAGGAGTTGAAATAGCAGTGTGTACCATAACAAGTTTGTCTTCTTTTCAGTAGTTAGCCAATAAAGCAGGTGCCAAATTGCACAGATCTGACACCATCTGACTTGATTTACCCAAAATAAGCAGTGCAGAATCAATAGCAGCAATCTGTTTGGCATTATGCTTGGTAAAGTGATCAGCAATAAGAAGCTAATACATTGAAAATGTAAGTATTGTGAGTAAGATGAGGGTCTTGACATGTTGAAAACTGAATTTGTTGTAGGTCACTTTGGAAAGCATGGTTCATGGGCTATCCCATTTCATCAGCCAGTACAGAGCACTAGCACGATGATCATCTACCTACCAAATCCCAGTGCACAGCAGAAAAAGTGCAATAGGTTCATTACATTTTAGGCAGAGCAGGAAGGAGCTAATCCATTGTACTGACAACAGGATTTTAAATCCCGTTCCCCTCTCTGGAGATCGTATAAAATGATTCAGCTAAAAGTTAAAAGACTGAAAATTAATAACCAAAGTATTTTTTCTTCAACACATTTCCTGTACAGTGCATCAGATGGAGTAGTCATATAGGCTCATTGAAATCCCTGGAGCAGTTTCAGTTAACACAAGTTAAGGATTTGATCACTGTTATTTGGGAATTGGATGTTGTCATCCAACATAAAATCTTAGTAATTCTATCCACAAATCCTGTAATTCATGTTATTTGCCTTTATTTTTACAAAGTGGATGATTTTTATTCTATTTTTTTCAAGTTTTTTTACTCAAAATTATACAATCCCACGATAAACTTTGCGTCACTGGCATTACAAAGTTCCTTTCATAAGTACTGTAAGAAATGGGATGCTGGGATTATAATGTGTAATTAGCAGTTCTTAGAATCATAGAATTGTCAGGGTTGGAAGGGACCTTAAAGATCATCTAGTTCCACCCCCCCTGCCATAGGCAGGAACATCCCCCACTAGATCAGACTGCTCAGAGCCCCATCCAGCCTGGCCTTAAAAACTTCCAGTTCAGGTCGAACTGAGTCTTGAAAGGCACCTTCAAAGACATGTCTAATCATTCACTCTTGCTGACAAAACCACGTATCTGTTCTCTGCATCACACTGTTGAATACAGGCCAGAGAAACAGAATAAGTCAAAATACAACCAAAAATTCTGGAAAAAAACATCCTTAAGTGAAATTGCACAAAATGTAGGATGTCAGAAATATTCTCCTGGCATGTATTTGCATCTTATTTGCAAATGCCTAATTTAGGAAAAGCTCCTTTTAGTCTCAAACAAGGACCAGCAGGCATTGAAGCTGGGAATGGTAACAGTGTACTTGGTCATCGTTTCTCTACAGTAAGACTCGATTCCGCTGGATCCAGGAGAGCAGCTCCCACAAGAGCGTGCCTCCCTTCGGCTTAGATGGCGTTTACATTTCTGAGCCTTGCCCCAACTACTGCAGCGGCCACGGGGACTGTGTCTCGGGGGTCTGTTTCTGCGACCTGGGTTACACAGGTAAGATAACCTTTTAGGTGGAGTTACAGTAAGCATTGGCTGAGTTAAAGCTGTAAATCTAGCATCTTGCTTTTCCTCTTTGATACTCCGGAAGAATACACAGTGACAGAAATTTCATGGGCTGCCAGAAAGAATCTTTTCATATTGTTAAATAAAATTCAGCTTAGGTAAAAACAAGCAGCTGAAGGCAGTGAACGCTGGTGATGTTTCTGGAAACCACAGTCTTTGAACATCACCATCTGTATGAATGGGAAGGGACTAGTGGTAAAAGAGAAAACAATAAAAAGTATCATAAACTAGAAAGTCTGCTTAGAAGCCTTTGGATCATCTTCAAAAGAGTTGCTGTTGTTTTTTAGTTCCCTGGCCATCAGATGGCATGGGACCAGGAGGGAACATATGTTCTGATAGGCCCTTCTGTGGAAAATTTCTGCTCAGTTGTGGTTTCAGGGACTTTTGTGCTGAAATACCAAAAATATCTCAAACAAATCCAATGAAGAAAAAACATTATTGACACAATCAGTTGCATGCTGAACTCTTTTCAACCCTCTGTACCAACAAAGCAATATGCTAACATCTTTCTTTTGTTCAATTTATTTAAAACAAAATAAAAGGGTGATATTTTTCTGTTTACATAAAATGTCTTATCAACATAAAGCGCCACTGTTTTTCACCTAGTGAAATAAGCCATCTTAGAGTTTAGAGGAAGAGGGCTTATTCTGCCTACAAAAATTTGCAAAGTAGATTTAAAAAGGTAGAATCCTGTCATGGGGGCATTTTCTTAGAAAAGCCCAATACTTTCTCACGTGTGGCTGCAACAAAACCATCTTCTAATGTACTGTATCTGACCTTTACTCTGTTCAGCACAGTTTCACCAAAGCGTCTCCCATATATTCTTTTTTTCTTAAAGCATCGCATGGAACCTGTGTGTCTAATGTGCCTAATCACAGTGAGATGTTCGACAGGTTTGAGAGGAAGCTAAGCCCTCTCTGGTACAAGATTACAGGAGGTCAGGTTGGGACAGGCTGTGGCGTGCTCAGCGATGGAAAATCTCTGTACTTCAATGGACCTGGCAAAAGGGAGGCAAGGACTGTTCCTCTGGACACCACAAATATCAGGTCAATTCTCAGTGCTGCTTCTCACAATTGTCTGTGCATTCATGCTGTGTCCTCTCCATTGCTACAAGTGTAGATGCGAGAAGGTGGGAAAGATTTTTCTGGCAACCATAACTTGTACAAGAAATCTTAGAGGCAGAGAAATTACTTTCTTGTGTACTATTTCTTTTTCTTGAGAGAGAATACTTAGGTTAGAAACAGTGGAATAGCAGCATAAAAAAGTATGAGCTCTTTATCCTTCTAAGATGGTTTATATTCTATTCTACATGGCCAGGCAGAAGATGTGGTCTTGAGATTGCACAAAACATAAGACTCTGCCCATAGATGGATAGAAGAATTCCCATTTCCCCAACTGCGCTGAGCTGCAGGATGGCAGTGGTGTAGCAATGAGCTGTTGTTTACTTGTCCAGTGCTGTAATTTAGTCCACTTGTCAGAAGTGTAAAAAAAAACCAGAATGTGAATTGCTTCCATGTAGCCAAGAGGCTAACAAACTTTCACCTCTCTCCCTGCTACCACTGAATCCTGTGCTGCTGGTAGCAATTATCCTTTTTCTCTCAAATTGTCTAATTGATTAATGTAATTAGGATAAACTAAGGGATGGTAATCCTATTATTTAGCCTGGAGTTTGCTCTTGCTTTGTCCAGTCTCACAAGGGACCATGCACCTGAAACCTTGCCCACCCTACAACTGTATCAGTTAGCTTAAACAAGAGGTATTTCTCCTGACAAATGCTGCTCCAAGAGTAAGTAATGCCATGATTTGCTGCATTATTTAATTTGTAACATCGTTTGACAAAGACTGGCCACAAGTTACTGCTACCGCTCTCTGGGTTGGGCAAGTGGTGCTCCTCAGGGCAGCAGAGATGCTGCAGATTTGGGGACATCACTACCTGCTCCCCGGCACTGAGCAGCACAGCCCCAGCTGCCTTTCCTCTGTCCCCTGCTTCTCTGACAAATTCTCATCTGAAAACTGGATGGATTAATTCTAGAATTATGTAAATTACTTAATAATTAAATTAATTAATTGTTTGAGAAATACACTTTGGACAAGTACATATTTGCACTGGAACTCTGGGAAGATTGGAGTACTGCTCTTGTATTCCACCATCTTTTAAGATCTCGTGTTACTAATCTGGTGAAGCATAATATTGGAAGTAACCATATCATCAGGAAATCTATATTCAAACAGTATGTTTGAGTTGTTCCTTCTTTCCTGGAGAAATCTTTTTATAAAAGAAAAGTATTTTCTTTAGTGTTAAAAATACTTTGAAAAGTTTTAATGCCAGATATTCATATTTATACTTTCCCGTATTTATAGATTTTGAACCATTTTAAAAGCCAGAAGAAGTTTTACAATACTGAGCAATGCTCTTTCAGACTTTTTTGACCTACAATTAGTTCTGTTTTGCACAAGAACCTGTTTATCTGGTGTCTCAGAACTGCCCCAAGAACATAAATGGCCAGAGGGACACCTGGTAAGAGCAAGATCTCTCTTCTGAGCATGAGCTCACTGTGCAAGCTGCTCTCCTGCAGCAACTGATCATTTTGTCAAAATAAATCAGCATTTCTTTTTCTTTTTCTTTTTTTTATAATCATCACAATGAGCAGTTTAACTTCCTTGAACAATTCAAGCTTGAAGCCCCATCCCTGGGCTGTTTCCTAAGGCAGAACAAATGCACACTGGTCATCTCAAACACAAATGAGACTAACGTTGATTTTTTGGTTTCTTCAGCCACGTGTGTGCTCAAGGGTAGTTTCCACCTTATGTCGCTTGACCAGAACATTGACTCCTTAGACTACAGCGATTACCCCAGGCTGCTTTTATGTTCAGAGGAGCGAATGGCTGCTTCAGAGGGACAATGCAACTCATCCTAAAGTAGGCTTTAGCAAAGGCCAGTGCTTTGTCTTCTGGAAGCATACATTTGTGTCATCAGTTGTAAGGCAATCTGGGTTGGCCATGTAAAACTTAGACATTCAGCTTCAGACATATTGCTTAGACCAGATGTAACATTAACTGTGTCTTTTTTTACTGGAAGCAAAGGCAGATTGTTTGTGAGACTGTGAGGGGTTAACTAAAAGGCCCATACCCTAAAAAGAAAATAATTCCTCAGCCTATTTTTTTTTTCCATTATTGGACCTAAATTAATGTCACTTGAAAGAGGAGATTAGAGAGAAGCACTTTTTCCCATTTTGGTATTACTTTTTGCATTCAGTAATGCCCTGAATAGAATTTGGTTATCTTATTAGGGGTCATCTTAGCCCCTGCACAGTTTATCTTTTATTTTCGCATGGGTTTTTCAGTTGGAGGGTTGTGGTATTGAATAAACAGTAGGAAAATATGCCTTGAAAGACATTCTGTTAGATATGTGGATTCAAGGTTGTGAATAGGAACGCTGAGACTCCAGCAGTAGATATTTAAGCTTCTTATTTTTCAGGTTAATAGTGTTTTCCCAGAGCTTTTAAGATCTTGTTTCATTAAATCGGGCATGGAAGAGAAAAAAAATTGAAAAATATTGCAAGACATTAAAGTTTTATTTTCATTCTGAGTTCCTGCAGATCTACCTATGTGTATTCCCTATCATCTTGCTTCAGTTACAGCTTTTTGAGTATGAAGTGTAAATTTTATATAAGGAATGCAAAGAATTTTTGGTCTTTTTTTTACAAGAACTACGAAGACCCTTTTCCCTTTCCCCTTTCTGTTCCCAAAGGAGTGGGGCCCATGGGGGCTGGGTGCTCCCAGTTTGCTCTGCTCCAAAGGGGTTGAGATTGGGCAGTGTGTGGTGCTTGCTCAGGGAAGCAGCCCAACAGGGCACTGCCAAACTCAGGTGCCTCACTATGAGCGTATAAAACTGAAGTTTGCTCCCTGAAGCCAATGATCATAAACAAGCACTCGGTATTTAGCAGATACATAAAGTGGTACCGTAATTTTAGCTTTGTTTGTCTTATTGTCTCATTATTCCTTTTTATGATTGACTACACATTTTCACAGACATTAGGAAAATATCCCACAGCACTAAGAGACCTCTAAGTGTCAAAGTTCATTTCACCCTACACTTCCAAAACCTTCTGGAGCCTCTTCATCCCTTCCCTTTCATATGGTCCAATGCACCAAAGGTACAATTTCAGCAGCAATATTTCTATCCTCCTGACTGACAATATGATACCTGGATGCCTTTTGGTTACTGAGGAGTTACTGCTTCCTATTTTGTTGGCCCGTCCATTATGACAGTCTTCACTATCTGTTCAGTGAGAGCATTTGCACACATTGCCTACCTGGCAGCTAGATAAAAAACATGGTGGCTTTTTTTTTCCAAGCAGTGACATCTGGCTTGTTAGCTACCTTGGCTCCAGTCTGCATCACAGACTGTTGTTAATGACTGTGCAGCCATCCTAGAGAGCTGTTCTGGGTCAAACACTTACAGATCAGATGGCCTGATTCACCCTTCTCAGAATGGTGGGGTTTTTTTGTCTTTAGTTTTTGCTTTTTATCCATCTTTACCATTGGCAAGCATAAAAGAGTATTTCATCACAGGACTGTAAATCTTTTCAGCTCTGAGCCCACTGTCTAGTGTTTTATTACCTGAATACTGTCTCAGACAACAGAGCTGCAGCAAACAGTAGGACATACCTGGATAAGTAGTGTGATACTGTGAGCCTGCCTGTACTTGAGCTATCTATGGGTTATGTTGTATGAACGAGATTGATTATATATTCTGGCTTGTCCTAGTCCCTATGGATGTACAAAACATCTCAGATAGGAGATACTGATTTTGATAATAGAACTGGAGCGTGATTGGTTTTAGAATCAGAATAGGATCATGATATCATGTGTGTAGCAGTGGATGAGGGAGACTGCAGTCCTGTCTGCATCGTACTGGCTCTGGCTGTAGTCCTATGGTTCGTCTGTGGTTTAACTGATTTCACTACAAATTATGACCAAATGCCCTAAAGCAGAAAGAGTTATCTTTATAGGGAATTGACTGACATATCAAGCCTTGCTTCTTCACACAGAGATACAAATTCACCTCAAAATTAGTGTTTAAAATAAAGAAGTTATGTACAAACAGTAGAATTAATGAAGCCTGTTTTCTTATACACTTGTGTTCGTTTATCCCCCAAAACGACCTGTTTGGCAGAACTCCACCTCACCCTATGTGTTCCACAAGGATGCCCCCAGCACAAGGGACAAGCAGTTGCTTCCAAAAATCATCACATCAGCAAGTACTCTACTAGTCATAAAACAGCAGGCAGGCATCATCCAAAGTCAAAAACAGGCTAGGAAACAAGGAGAATGGCATCGCCAACGTTCAGCATCCAAAAGCTCATCCTGGGGACGAGTCCAGGTTCCCTGCTCTGTTCAGGTGTTGTTTTGGGTCTGCAAGGCAGACAACCTGTGAAGTAGGCATAGATGAGGGAACAATGGCATCCTCAGTCGTCTCAATGCTCTTTATACTAATTATAACCAGATAAGATGCAGAGGAATTTCAGAGACATGCAATGAAATGTGGTGAGTGAGGAGCAGGACATTAACTGAAATGAATTGCTGTTATATAGCACAACGGTGCACATCTAAGAGGAAATGTAAACCACTCTGACACCACAGACTCACAATTAAAAATACCAGTTCAGCAAGGATACCAGGGCACCACTGCAGATTGGGGAAAAAAATAGTATTTTGGAGAACAAGGATGGGATATTTATTAATTAAAATATAGCTAAATAGTGATGTTCCAGGCTGATCCAAAGTTCTGTCAATAAAACCAATGACACTGTCTCAAAGGGATGTTGTGGCTTTAAAAGGATTGCAGAACGTTGTTAGTGGAAAAATTGAGGACATGGGAAAATGTTGCCATGGTTTACAGTAGAAAGGAATAAGAGAAGGTAGGAAAGTTATAAAAATACTGACTACAGGGCAGGTTGCAAGAAAAATAGATCAGGAACATTTTTGTCCCCATCTCAAGATGTGAAAACAAGAGGATATTTAATGAAATCAAAATATATAGGTTCAGAATCAAGGGGTCTACCTCACAAAATACCCCATGAATTCTTTTAATTGAAAATTGTTTACATGAAGAATTTAAGGACCAAAAATAAGCTGGTGGTTGGTTAGGATAAATTTCCAGTTAGAAGAGTTAAAGGTAAGATATGATGTAAAGAGCAGATTTGCCTGCTTTGGAGATTTTGCATCTTTGTGTGAAAGAAGGAACTGCTAAATTCTGGTGCTCGGTCCAACAATACATTTATTAAACAAAGGATCAATAAACCACATCAAGTCTAGAGTCCTCCGCTGTTTACTATGGCCGTGCTTGATTTCACTGGGAACATTTCCTGATCTTTAAGTCCCAAGTAATGACCTAACTGAAAATTCCACATTAGTTAAGAGAGTTATCCTGACTGATCTTGTGCTATCAGAAAGTAATGTGTAATGTGCTTCTCTTCTACCCTGATTTTTTTTTAACAGGCTAGTTCAATTTTACGTGCAGATTGGAAGTAAGGCTGTTGGCAACTCCTGCAACAGACCAAGGGCCAGGAATGAAGGTAAAGCCCCTTTTCTTTATAATGAGCTTTCTGTACTTTGGGTTTCTACAGTGTTTTTGCCTTTTTCTGCCTTTACAAAATCCAAAAGGTTGATTTATTTATAGATAAAAAGATTACCTTTTCAGTTTTCATAAATGGTGCATAAAAATATTTTCTTCTATCCCACGTTTGTATTTATAATTATTTCCAGCAACCCTAATGGTGACCTATCAGTAGGAGTAACTCTTGGAGCTGTGATGGTTTAAGACAACAGTGTAATAGCTCTTATTAGACTACTTGACAGTGCTGGACAACAGTTAAATTTACAAGTTCACGGGACTTTCTTCAGGTCTGAAGTAAAAGGAATAAAATTCAAGTTCAGGTTAAAGTAGACAACCTCCAATTCTGAGCTGAAGCTGAAAACTTTTTCAGCTTCTCAACCACACCAGTAAGTCTAATAGAAGATTGCCTTCTAACCCAAGTTCATGCATGGTTTACCTGAAATGTAAAATTATAAAGCTGCAGTGAAAATATACTTAATGTAAAGTAATTCATCTCTCCCAACTGTCTCCTTTCTTATTTTATCAACATTCTTAGAGTTATTTGGGCAGGAGTCTGACATTTGTGTTTAGGAAGGGTCAGCAGAGTTTTGGGAGCAGATTCCCTGTGTAAAGTGGTCTAGTTGCATGAAGATAGACCACTAACATCTGAGAGGAAAACTTTTTTCTCTCATTATAAAACCTTTAACATCAATGGACTCTTTCTTTACCTATGGCATTTACATTGATACTGACTCACAACTGTCATCTTTCAGCACAGATTACACAGGGTTTGAATCTCCCCTCATTTGCACCAGTATCCTTTATCTTTGAATATACTCCAGTATAAAGGGGTTTTAAAAGAAAAAATATACGAGTGCTTCCTCCTTATATTATCCCCTTTGGTGAGCTCCTAAATGACTTCACAATTCTGATATGGCATAGTATTTGCCATACTGTGTGTTAGATATGAAGACCATCTTAAATTATCTAAATACTACAATAATTACCTTTTAAGGACGCTGTGAACTTGCAAAGGTGGTGTGAGCATTGTGAGCTACCCACATCAGGAGCCCGGCTATCAGAATTACACCATAGTGTCCCATGCAAACTGCAAGGATACCTGACAGGAAATAGATACTGACTATATGAAGAAAGTTACATTATTCCTTCCTGTTGTTTCTGTAAGTGCAATCATTAGTTTCACTGAAGTTGTAAAAGATTTGATCCTTTGAGTTTGGTGAAAACAAGCAAGATAACATGTGGCAGCTGATGAGTGCACATCACCTTTGCAAATAGGACTTCATCCACAAAATGTTCCTGGACCAGGAGACACCAAAAGAGTAGGGAAGATGCCGAAAGTCACATGCACTGGTTAGGGGTTGGCAGCTCTTGAGTACAGGCTGATGAGTTGCCCACACTTTGCTCTGTACATTAAGACCAGCTGCCTTTCTTAATTTTAAACATAGGACTTGTTGTTCAATACACAAACGACAACGGGATCACCTGGCATTTGCTGCGAGAGCTGGACTTCATGTCATACCTGGAACCTCAGGTTGTTTCAATAGACTTACCTCGGGAGGCCAAAACCCCAGCCACTGCCTTCCGCTGGTGGCAGCCACAGCACGGTAAGCAGCGTCGACCAAAAAGTTTGGTAAGCAGCTTCACACAACCCACCTGGCAATGCTTATCAGTATGGACATGGTCTGCAGAGAACTCACCTTACCTAGGATACAGTATGGTGAACAGTTGGGTGCTGTAAGCATATTTAGGCTTTCCTCAGGTGCACTGAAGACCTGATTTTCTTTTACAGCACCAAGAGGAATAGTGGGCTAAGAGTAAAATTGTTTCAGAGCTAAGTTTAAACCAAAGATGCTGAGAGATAACAGAGAGGAGGGGAAAAGAACATTACACAGAAAAGCCTAAATAAGAGTAGAGGATTTACCTGAGAATAAAGTCACCTGGGATTCAAAATAGCTTCCATAGTTTCACAGAATCACGGGATCTCTTTGATTGGAAGAGACCTTTGAGATCATTGAGTCCAACCATTAACCTAACACTGCCACGTCACCACTAAACCATGTCGAAAAACACCAGATCAACACGTTGTTTAAGTACCTCCAGGGATGCTGAATCCACCACTGCTCTGGGCAGCCTGTTCCAAAGCCCAATGATGCTTTCAGTGAAAAACTTCTTCCTAATACCCAGCCTAAACCTCGGGTTTTGTCTGTTTTGGAAGGGGAGGCATAACTTAGCCCTGAATCTTCCTGCCTGGGTGGCTCCCACCTCATTATTTTAATATCTCCACACTCCAAAACAGGACTCTCATCCCCTGCCGTTTCTAGCATCCTGCTCCCTTGCCTTCTGCTGTTTTTTTTCACTCAGCCAGTTCCCACAGCCTCAGCTGAAAGTAAAACCCTGGTGCTGTCTGATACCTACAGCCACTGTGAGAGCTCCCATCTCATGTGGGGGCACATTGACGCTATTAAAAGTGTTGTGGTGAAGTGTCTTGTCTTTGTGCAAGGAAGCAGCTCCTGGATCCCTGCAGGAAATCTAAGGTGATATTCAGAAATATAGCCAAGTACATTTTAACAGCAATTCCCTAGGGAAAAAAAGCACACAGCTTACATTCAGTTAATTATGGTATACAGCTTTTAAAATATCATTTATCTTTTTGATGGCTGGGTTTTATTCATGCATTTTCTTACACTGTACTTGCTGGAGTTAATTATCCTCACTAGACAAGAGAGTAGACAAGGCAAGAGGGATGTAATTTAGCTAAGAAGCCAGTTTATTTGGTAAAAATGCTGAACCACAACTGGTGCACCACAAACCATTGTTCTGCCATGACTGTTTGCACTGGTGAATGGTGCAATGTCAGACCTGCTGCTCCCGACCCGTGTCCTGCCCGTGGCCACTTGCTCTGGGGGCACCTGGATGACATGTCCCTGCTGAGAGCGGTTACCCTGAGGCCATCTACTGGCAGTCCTGTTGCTCCCAGTAAGAGGGAGAGTTTATGACTGGAAGTTGAAATACCACCTCCCATACCAGCACAACCACTCCTCATTGCAGATATTAGCTCCTTCATAGACTGTCCTGTCCTCTGTCTGCCATAACGCAGTGAAGAGTGGCCCTATCAGCCATGACCCTCATCCCTCATAATGGCAAGACAAAAGTCCTGGCACATCGCTGCGAGCTCACAATTTATTGTCAGCACTTTCCTTTGTCTTCTGTGATGGCAGTGATTGTACAGTAGGATGGCATTTTCTGCATGCCAGAAGAAGGGTGAATTGAAATGAAGGGCTGGAGAAATGGGCTGGACATGGTGGTCAACAGATATGTGGAGAGCAGAGAAGAGAAGTTTCCAGAAGGGAGAAGGTGAAGAGCCGTTCTATCAAGAGCCTTCAGCCCTTTTCTTTGTGCACTATCCTCTTCCATATAAAAGATACTTCGGGATCTAGACAGAGGCCTTTCTGGTTTAGTTGTGGGGAATGGCAGGAAGGTTGTGACCCATAAAATGAAAATCCCTAATCTAGGGGCTCAGGGAGTGTCTCATTCAAACATAGGGACAGAGTCTGATGATAACACTGAAGCTTGAGAAATTAAGAGGGAAATACCTGTGTTCATTCAAAACAGAAAGATACCCTAGAGCCCAGGTTCATCCTTGAGCAATGTTTTAGTCTTATTTAACAGTGACTGAGCACTGCTCACTGGGTGAACTCAGGATATGGGCATAAAAAATAACTTACAAGGATTCCACTAACCTGCCTGTTCTGATTTTTATAGGGAAGCATTCAGCTCAGTGGGCTTTGGATGATGTCCTAATAGGGATGAATGACAGCTCTCAGACTGGCTTCCAGGATAAATTTGATGGAACTGTGGATTTACAAGCAAGCTGGTACAGAATACAAGGAGGTCAAGTAGACATTGACTGCCTGTCTATGGATACAGCTCTGATGTTCAGTGAAAACATTGGTATGTGTCACCAAACATTGCTATGTTTGTATGAGTCTATTTTATAAAATATGTGTCTAGGTTTTACATGATGGGACATATGGAAAAAAATCATGTATATAGTAATTTACAGGGAAGAGAAAGCTGAAAAAAGGGGAAAATACAGATAATAAGCTTGAATGACAGTACCGAAAGCACGTACATAAGATGAACTTGTTGGTGGTTTTCTCTCTTTTCTTAGGAAAACCTCGTTATGCTGAGACTTGGGATTTCCATGTATCAGCCTCCACTTTCTTGCAGTTTGAGCTGAGCATGGGTTGCAGCAAGCCATACAGCAATTCCCACAGCATTCACCTGCAGTATTCTTTAAACAACGGGAGAGACTGGCATCTGGTGACAGAGGAGTGCGTCCCTCCTACCATCGGCTGTCAGCACTATACCGAGAGCTCCATCTACACTTCTGAAAGATTCCAAAACTGGAAGAGAATTACGGTCTACCTCCCACCCTCAACCAAGTGAGCACTGCTCCTCTCACTGTTTACCATGATAGAGATTTTGCTGATCTAATTTGAGCAAACATCCCCCAGCTTGGGAATTTCCTGCTTGTCTTTTAAATTATTAAATATATGTTGTTACGCCATCAGAATTATAAAATTCACTTCAAAATATTTCATCAGATACAATGTGAACTGCAGGAACTTAAGGAAGTAACAACTTTGGATGAGTGAATTCAGTCTTGCCTATAATCTATGACAGCAAGAACAGGAATTGCTAAACCAAGCTTTTCTAAGCAAGAATTAATGTCCTGACCCATCCTTTCATATAAAAGTATTTTCTATCACTGCAAAGAAGTTGTCATACAACATTTAGGCACGTTAGTCATGGCATTCAGCAAGTCAAAACACATGTTACTGGATGTGCCACCTCCATCCTTTTGACCGGGAGGAGAGTTCTGCCTGCCTTAGTGATATCCCACAGTTGTAAATGGAACTGGCAGATATGCCGGCATCCATCTCTCTGAATAAAACCGTGCTCTAGTTTAGACATAACAGAAGATTATGATATTGCTTACTATTATGCTGAATAGTTCTGTAATTCTTCAAAGCACCCTATGCATTACCTCTGTAAATTTCACCACCCAGAAAACACAGTTGAACAAATGAACACACAATAAATTAACTGGGATCGGGGTTCACATCTTGGTTTCTAATTCCGTAGTTCACTCCAGAGGACAATACATCTCTTCCAAAGAATCTTCTTCACAAATATAATGATATCCTGATCCTGTCAAGGTCTGAGGGCAATTCTCTCTGCGCTGTCTGCAGCACATTTCCTGCCTAAACAAGTGCAAGATAACCTAACCTGTAGCATTATGACAGATTTTTTCTTTTCCAAAACACTTTCCTCACCTGATGATAACAAGGCTGTCAGCCATCACAGCAGTATGTTTGCATGTGCATGTTTGTATATTTATAATCATACATTGTTATATGTGTATATATATATATGAACATACGCAATCGTTATTTTTTTCTTTACACATTTAGTACAAATGAAATTTCAGTGCTTCTTACTTTACTGAAGCAATTTTATTATTTTAATTCTGTTAGCAACATATGGAACTGTCAAATGCTAATGTAGCTAATAGTTTCTGCTCAGCCACTTTGCTGACCAGCAAGAGTCACAGCGATCTTCTTTCTTGACTTCCACTTTGGGGGCACCTTCCTTTAAAGTCTGCTGGAATTTTGCCTAAAAACTAACCCAAGAAATAGGAACTTCCAGTTTCACCTGGAATATGAATCTTTTCCAAATACAAGAACTCTTGCTTATTGACATGCTCCTCTTCTTGTGACATCTATGAGATTTTCTTTATTATCTAGTACTTTGTGCAGCAGGTATTTTGCAGCCTGAAATACATTAACTCTGTTTTTTCTAGCTCTCCCAGAACACGGTTCAGATGGATTCAGTACAACTATGCTTCTGGTGTTGATTCTTGGGCTATTGATAATGTGGTCCTGTCTACAGGATGCCCCTGGATGTGCTCAGGCCACGGCATCTGTGATGCAGGTCGTTGTGTGTAAGTAGCAAACTGCTTAACCTTCTTCACAGAAAGAATGCTGTCTTTTATCTAGGCCAGATGGATAACACCTTTTCCTTCCAATTTGTTGCTAGGTGTGACAGAGGCTTTGGTGGTCCATACTGTGTCCCTGTCATTCCTCTACCGTCTGTCCTGAAGGATGATTTCAATGGCAACTTGCATCCAGACCTTTGGCCTGAGGTCTACGGTGCTGAGAGGGGAAACCTGAATGGTGACACCATCAAGTCTGGAACAGCTCTCATTTTTAAAGGGGTCAGAGACTACTTACATTGAAAAAAGTGAATAAAAACTGGTAGAGTTAAAAACAGAAAGTAAATTTTTTGTTGTTTCCCCCATATGTTTCTCTCAAAGTCTTTGAGCTAGAATTTGACATTTTCATTTTTCTTGTCTTTTCCTGCCCTAAATATGCACCGTTTGTCACACTTGTTTTTGTGAACAAATGGGTTTCATTGGGTTATTGGCTATTATTTTCATTTGTGGTATAAATTCCTCCTTAACCACCAAAGGAAAAGAATGAAATTCTGTAGCCGAGATTCTTGAGGCCAAGTGAGTGATTTGGAAAAACGGTACATATTTCAATCAATTGCCTTTGTGTCTTGAAATCTTCTGGCTGGCTTTGAGTATTTTGAATAATACAAATTAGTAAGCACTGTAGTCTATGTAATCTATGTCTATGTAGTTAGCCTGTGTTTTACTTAATTCTATCATTTTGAAGTTTTCTAGCTCTTTAAGGACTTTTTTTTTTTTGGAATTACAGGTTAAAAAAGGCCAGGAAATACCACATTTCCTGAACTCCACAGTTCTTCAACAAAACACATAATAGAAAGGCTTTTGTTAACAGAAGCACACAAATTTTAAGCTCACACATAAGTCTTTATTTGATGCTCTGGATTCATGTGCCCCGAAAAAGCGAAGTTCACTAATGATTAGTGTAGAAATCAATATTTAGAAATATTTCTTCGCAAAACCTTGACTCCAGCTCAACCTCTTTAGATCACTTAAATGACAAAACACAGGATGTGAATTGTCTAGAACTTGGATCGGTTGTTCCTGAAGGTTGTTCCCCTGGGCGAATGAGTCTGAGAATGAGGGAAGCTCTGAGAGGTGGTTTGGTAGATCTCTGCAGAACAGGAACCACCAGCTCTGGCCCCAGGATCCACACAAAACTGAGCTCATCTCTAGAGATGGACAAGGCCTTAGGGGTCACCATGACGTTTCCTGTCTGATCCCTTTCTTTACCATTCTAAGACAAGGGGCTGCCCCAGAAGAGGGTATTTGTACAAAATATTTTTTGAGGCACAGATAAATCCTAGAGAGGAGTCTTCCAGCCTAGAAATTAGGGTGCTTGGTTACTATACAATTTGCCCGCTAAAAAAGAGTGTGCTAGCTTGGACTCAGTGGCTGAGTAAGTCAGTGCTTGCGAATCAGATCACATCCCAGTGGTTCAGAGCATGAACTGAATGAGCTGTACCTGTGCCTGGACCTGATCCAGTAGCTGTGCCTCTGATGGTGACACACACTTATCTAGACCTCTCCGTTACTATGGTTCACTTTGCCAAGGCTATCACTGTCTTCATTTTCTGCCCAGGAGAAGGTGTGGGACAGAGAACTACCTCTCTCACTGCCACTCACAGTAATCAACATCCAGGCAATAATAAGCTGCAGAGCATCTTCAATAATGGGAACTGGGACTCACACTACATATTCTCTATTTGCAGGAAGGACTAAGAATGCTTGTTTCAAGAGATCTAGATTGCACTAATACCATGTACATCCAGTTTTCATTTAAATTTATTGCCAAAGGTAAGATAAGATCACTCTTGATTTCCTATCATTTCTCTAGCTTGATTCGTACATAGTAGCATCACAGAAAAGGATATGGAATTATGTTTCCTACTTCAGCATGCATGTTCATCAGTTTATGATAGATCATACAGGATTCTGCATCATAACTTCCTTGCTACCAGACTGCATGCCAGTCTGTGCAGCTCCTAAGAAAAAAGTAAACTGTGGTGGTATCAAAACCAGATACCTAATACAGTCTTTGAGCAGAAGAAAAACAAAATAATAACTCAAGAATTTCTAGAGATTTTGCATTATTTTTTTGGGAAAAAAAGAGATAATTTATCAGGGTTTTTTTAATCATAAAATGACACCTATAATAGATTACTTAAAAGACTGATAAGGAACTACAGGGGGGTTAATTTTCAAACTTCAGTCCACTAAATTAAAAGCTCTAACCATTTGACTAGTAGGTATCTTACAAATTATTAAAACTCTGTAATTCTTTTTAATTGTGTATGAAGAGTAGTCAGACTTTGTAAGCCAAATTTACATGTTGGTATAACAAGCTTGAGACAGTTTCTGTGGTACAAGTATTTTCAAGTGAATGATTCAGTCCTACGTTACTCGGAGCCCCTGCCATCTCTGGCTTTGCAAAATAATTTTATCCAAGTCAGCAGTAACATGGTGGAGAACCACTTACCTGGAGAACTACTAATCTGATTGAGGGATTGAGTAACTCCCCTGCAATTTCACACGTTTTTTTCCCAGCATTGCTTGTAGAACCAACATTTCCAGGCTGAAGTCTCAATATACAAAAACTGCTCTCCCTTTGGTGGAAGATGGAAAATATTCATAGCTACTGCATGAAGCTCCACACTCTGGGACTGGACCATAACCGACTTGCTATTTCCCAAAGACAATGTGAAAATAGTTTTGAACTATCTCTTTCTTCCTAATAAATATCTTGGCCAAATCTCTGTATGGGCGAGTAAAAATTTATCTCTTTCCGAATTAAATGTGGTTCTCCTGAATAGGCATTTAATCATATGTATTTGGCTATTTATTACTTGGTTTTATACTTTATGGAAAAGAGAGAAAACAAAAATGGCGTAACATGCTCCAGAAGAATAATATTGCAAATATTTCATGTTTAAAAGCGAATGTTTCTGAAGACTTCTTTTATAAAACTGCCTTGGAATTATTTCTGCATATGATCATTGCCAAAATATTATAAAATACAATGAGTAAAAGTATGATTCTGAAAGACAGGAATAGCCAAAGCCTTGAGGGCTGGATTTTGACACTTAATCCACAAGAGGTAGAGCAGTGAAACTCCAGGATAAATCTTTTCTCATTAAATCTATATGGCTTGCTAGCCTAAGGCCTGGATCCAAGACTTAGTTCCAGCAAACTCCCTAATGTTGACAGCAGATTAATATAGCTGAGCACATCTCTCAGCTACGGAGTTTTGGGGGATGTGTCACACTGAAGGGAGTGGAGAGTGTACATTTACCCGAGTGAGGACTCAGCTGAGAGATACCATCACCCAGACACTGATGTTCCTGGCCAGCAGGTCAGGCATAGGCCATACAGACATTGGGGACTAAGCTTGTGCAGGGTAACCAGCATGAGGTGTGAGTGCTGGGCTCTAATCAGCGTATGTTAATAGCTAGGACTGTGAAGAGCCTTTATTGACTCTAAAGCTTTGAGTAAAAAAAAGGAGGAACTGGTAAGCAGAAAATGAAAATTTTACTGTCAGTTTCACCACTGATTTTTAGGCCCAGCTTAAAGCACAGAATATTGGGGTTTGGTTGTTGAAATATACTAATGAAGATCCTCAGCACTTTTCATCAGCTCCATGATTTCTGGGCATGAATATGCTTGTATCGGTGTCTGCGGTTGGAGCCGTAGCTTATAAATTTGTGTGGATAAGGACTGTGTCGTTATCTGTGCGTGCTACAGACGGTGATGATAATGTCTGGTACCTGGGAGAAACAAGCAAATAAATATTGAATTACTGAAAAATGACTGTAGTAAAAGGATCTGGTTTGTTCTAATCTAAAGAATTGTAACACTGAGATAGCTTCTCATTGTACATATAATGAACAACAATGTAAATACAGCTCCTAATTCATTAGCATTTTGCAGACAGACAAGCACGGAAAGCACAGGAAGATGTGTATGTGCAATATACATACAACATCTCAACAGCTTAAGTTGTTGTTAAAGGAAGGCCAGACTCTGTAACAGATGTCAGAGTAACCTAATTGTATTTGCATTTGAAGAAGTGAGTTTGAGTTAGTGCTTTTTAAAACTGGACTGTAATGAACCTAAATTCATGTCGTTTCTGCTCCAGGCACCCCTGAGAGGTCTCATTCCATCCTGCTGCAATATTCTGTCAATGGTGGCATCGCTTGGTACTTAATAGATGAGTTTTACTTCACGCAGACTACAGATGTCCTCTTTATTAACGTTCCTCTACCCTATGCAGCCCAAAGCAATGCAACACGGTTCAGGCTGTGGCAACCTTACAACAACGGTAAGGAAGAAACACCCGAGGGACTCTGGGTCCACATTTGCACAGCTCAGCATCTGTAAGAGGATAGATTTTTTTTTTAACCCAACAGTAGCAATGACTCTGAAATCATGTTTTCTAATTAAAATTATCACAGGATTATGTTTGCTGTTCTTATAAAGTTGCTGTATGCTTTAAAGTGAAAGTACCTTAACCTAATACCCTGTCATAGAATCACAGAATCATGGAATACCAGGTTGAAAGTGACCTCTAGGTCCAACTTTTCTTGGGAAAAGCACAATCTAGACAAATGGCCCAGCAACCTGTCCTGCCAAATCTTTGAAATGTTCAATGTTGAGGACGCCACCACTTCCCTGGGGAGATTATTCCAATGGCTGATTTTCCTTGTGAAAAATTTTCCTCTTGTGTCTAATGAGACTCTCCCCAGGAATAACTTGTATCCATATCCCTTCCCTGTGTGCAGAAGACTATCAGCTTTGGTCCTGGAGGACTGGGAGATCAAGCAACAGCAATAAAGTTCACTTCGCTCAGGTTCTTCTCATTATTTTTAATGGACCTGATTCTCATTTACACTGAGACCACATAAGAATGCTCCAATTATACAAAAGTTCCCCAAGTGTAAATGGGATCTGGGCCTAGGTTGCTCAGAATTAACTAGGCATTAAAAACCCATTTTGAAAGACTATGTAGTGAGCAGTTAATCTTTTGATTAAATTGTAAAGGACTGTAGAAAACCACAAGAGGAACACAGCTCATTCCTCCTGATTGCGGGAGATGTGCCAGCTGAAGAAATCTTTCCTCTGCTCTCGGTTACTCTGAGCACGTCTTAGCAGGAGCTGACATTAAAGGCTCTAAAGAATTCCAACGATCATTTTGACACCGTGATACAGCAACAATTTATTCCAAGCAGGCAAATGACTGGTACACCTCTAACAAAAAAAAATAACTTCAAATCTGGTCCTAAGAATCCAGTTCCAGTTCATTCTTCTGATGAGTCCTGCCTAAAACATTTAACTAAACTTTTCTTGCAGACATTATCCCTAAGTAGGAATTTTGTTTAAAAGAAGTTTAGATTTCCCTGATCGACACAAAAGCTTTTAAATAGATGAAAAAAATAGCTACACAAAATATATGGCAATGTAATCCTTCTTCTCCAGTTTGAAAGCAGCAATTTTTCAACATATTTGAATTCATAATCCACTAGAGACAAGGTCACTCAGAGTTTCCTTCTCTCTCAAAGAGCTCTTGCTGGGCAAACACAAGGTGCGAGTACAAGGAAAAAGGTGTAAAATTAAATCATCCTGTCAGGCTGCTTAGGCTCTACAGCAACTGATCAGTTAGATGATTCTTAATTAAAGAAGACATCGATGCTAAAGATTCAAAGTAATTGTGATTTAAACACATTGTTCAATATAGGTTTTTCACTCTTCAGTTTGCTATGTCTTCTATAAATTTTAGAAGAATAATAGTTTATTCTGTAGGGTCAGGCTGCAGAGAAACATGGGGACTATTTTCATGGAAAAACACTTTTAGCACCCTTTTCTTCATGTAATCCATAAATACTGGATACTGGTCTGCTCTCTAATAATGGTACTATTAGGTCTTAATAGGAATGTTCCCC